CGTTACGAACGAGCGCTCTCATTATCCTTTCCGCTCCGGAAGACGCGAGAGACGCTCGCGCAGAGGAGGAGGCACGAACCTCCCGTGTCCGGCACTTAACTCCTCTCATCCGCCGACGACCGTCCGGTACCAGGAAATCACGTACCGGAAGTGTGACATCACCGACGACGCGGCTAGCACGTGGTCGCGCCGTGTCGGATCAGAGGATGACACGATCGGAGGGCAGAGAACGATCGCTCGCACGCGTCGCCGCGTTCCCGCGCTACGTACAAAAGCGAGAAACGCATTCGCGCGGCCACGCGCGGCCCACGCGCGTTAGAAGATCAAGGTTGCGCGAGGCCGAAGTCTAAAGTTTACGAGGTCAATCGCGGAGCGCGCGTGGCTTTCATGAGCCGATCCCGTTCTCGCTATTTTCATACACTTCCTCACGGAAGTGCGTCATCCTTCGAAAAATGCAAAGTTGCACGTGGAGAAATATTCTAATGGCCGATACAACTCGAACCGCCGGTTCAACTTCGCTGTATGCAAAACGGCATTAATAATGAGAATCTTCGAGATCGGCCGGGCGAAAAAGGGGCCGTTATTCCGTTAACAAAGTTGCGACGCAAAATCGAACGGGAACAGGAGCGAACAGGCTTGCGAAACGTTTTTCCCCGGCGAATTTCCCTCGTTACAAACGGCGAGAGATTATTGTTGGCCGACCTCTCTTCTCTCTCGAAATGTAGTGCGTAATTGCGACCCGTTTGTCAGCCGCTCTTTATAATGCGCTAAACGACTGGCTGCTCTTACGTGCCAGCTCCGGTTCTTCCTCTTGTCGTGACGGGGGCAAAAAAAAAAAGTCGCGAAGGGATCGGTACCAGAGCGTAAAAGGCATTATGAACGCGATGCAGGTTGAGCAACAGATGTCCCACCTGGTACCTGCTCGGTATACTCGCAGGGGGCTAAAGGCGATTAAATGCTACTACGTTTAGAGAGGTATGAAATTTCAATGGGCCGAAGGGTGAACCGGCTCGGCGAGAAAGTGTCGAGAGCGCGCGCGCGCGCTCGAGTAGTATTTCCGCTCCGTGGAGGATCGCGATCGCGCGGGTTCCTGTGAGATAAACGCTCCCTTTCGTGCGGTCCTAATCGTCTCTCATTTCCGGCTCGAAGGACGATCGAGGCATCTCTTCTTTCCGTTTGTCATTATCATTGCACTTCCGTCGAAAAACGATCCCGCGGGATTTCGTGTTGCAAAGAATCGCATTGAGAATATCTTCCACCGCCTTCCTCGATCGATAGAGCGCGTGTGATCCTTTATTCCATTTTCCTTCCTCTCAAGTCTTCATTGAAGATATAAAAAAATATGAAAAGTTCGTCTTCAAACTTTGAATTAGGCAAAGGCATCTTCCCGGAATCTCTTTTTCCTTATTTGATAATATTCAAGCAGTCAAATATTTTCATAATAAAATCTATCAAATTTTATTTAATGGAATTTTTATACCGAAACTTTTTCGAGGCAACTACTCGACGTATTGATTAAGGGAAAAATCCCATCATGCGGCTCCCATCGCCATTCACAAACACCTGTCGCGCAACAAAAATAAAGTTCCGAGCATCGCAAATTCCATCTTATTATTAGTATATTATTCTTGATTATGTCCGTATCATTGATCTTGGGAATATTTTGCCAGGGTCAAAATAATAACGGAATAATTACGACTACTCTGCTGGAAACCGTGGCATGATGAACGACGCGAAGCTGCGACTGGCGACGACGTTACGCGCGGCTGGCTGAATCCAGTTTTACGATTATTTGCGACAGCTGTTCAACAAGAAGAAACACAGCGCCACGAATCTCCTTAAACTTGCGTCAGTAGATCGATGCGCAATAATAATAATAATAATAATAATCGAGAAATGATATAACGAGGTGACGATAGGTAATTAACTGCTCGCAAGCGGAGTTAATCTCGATACACCAAGCGTTGTTGTTTTCGCAACTGTTTTTGTCGAACGAGGCGAACGATTATCGCGGGACGCGGATTCTACCCGAGAGTTGCATAAAGTCAGCGGCGATAACTGGTGGACGATTCTTCTTATTTTACACGAGCTTTTCTTTCGGACCGTACGTAGTCCGGTGTCGTAATTTTTGGCGTGCGAGAAGGGGGTAACGTCGCCAATAAAAATAAATCGTAAAACCCCCGCAAAAATCGTAAAATCCGAACGGAGCGGACGTCCCGCGAAAAACACGTGCGAGAGTTGTTTGTATAACGGCCGCACGGACCGAATTAAGTTTTATCACTTCATCGAGCATTCGGTATTTTACGATTTTCCGACGCGCCGTAATGAAACACTTCGCATTTGTCGGGGTCGCAACGAGGGTGACCAACGGGGACGAATACCGTATTATTCCGGCGCCGTATTTTTTCACGAGTGAAGAAAAAGAACGAGGAAGTGAGAGCAGAATTTTTATAAATTTTAAAGCAAGTGCTCCCTGCAAGAATAATATATACAGTATATGAATATTATATGAATAGTGTATGAATACGCGGTATATGATAAGATGTACAAGAAAATATATGAGAAAAACGTGAGAAAAAAAAACAAAAATTATAATTGATAAAATTGTGAAAGCAGATAAGAAACTTATGTATAGCGTTAATTTTAGAACATTAGCGACTGAACGGCAGAGATAAGAAGAAAGAAAGATGTGTAAACACCGCAAGAAGTAGAATTCTGGAAAAAAAGAAGGAAACAATAATTGAAAAGCAGAAGCCGGTTCTTGCTGATTGACTTGGAATGAACGCGGCGCCAAGCGTCTAATAAAGATATTAATTGACTCCGGTGAAGCCAATAACAGAGGGAATAAAAGAGTAATATCGAGGCAGGGATAAATCGCGGCGCGCGAGGAAGCGGCGGATTAGCGGTGGCGAGCGTGAAAGAAATCTAATAAAAAATATCCGGTCGTGTCGTACAAGTTATAACGGTGCGAGAAAGGGGCG